TATAATAAAAAAAATAAAGTAATAGAGATAACACAAAAATAACTAAGATAATAATAATAATTATAATTATAATAATAATAATAATAATAATAATAATAATAATAATAATAATAATAATAATAACAGCAATAAAAATTTTACCCCAAAAAAATCAATATAATCAGCCAATAAAAATGACAGTGAAAATATATCGTAAATTATTTAATAATACGAAATAAAATTAAATCTCCAACAAAAATACATTATCAATAAAAATAAAAAAATAAAAATTCATTTACAATAAAAAAAATACGTTTCCAGTATTTTAAATAATATTTTTGCAATAAAGATAAAAATACATTTACAATAAAAATAAAATACAATAAAAATAAAAATACATTTACAATAAAAATAAAATACAATAAAAATAAAAATACATTTACAATAAAAATAAAAATACATTTACAATAAAAATAAAATATAATAAAAATAAAAATACATTTACAATAAAAATAAAATACAATAAAAATAAAAATTCATTTACAATAAAAAAAATACGTTTCCAGTATTTTAAATAATATTTTTGCAATAAAGATAAAAATACATTTACAATAAAAATAAAATACAATAAAAATAAAAATACATTTACAATAAAAATAAAATACAATAAAAATAAAAATACATTTACAAAAAAATTAAATACAATAAAAATAAAAATACATTTACAATAAAAATAAAATACAATAAAAATAAAAATACATTTACAATAAAAATTAAAATACAATAAAAATAAAAATACATTTACAATAAAAATAAAATACAATAAAAATAAAAATACATTTACAATAAAAATAAAATACAATAAAAATAAAAATACATTTACAATAAAAATAAATACATAAATAAAAGAATATTTAATAAAAATAAAATACAATAAAAATAAAAATACATTTACAATAAAAATTACATGTCTACAAAAATAAATTCGTAAAAAATAAAGTTTGAGTTTGTATGCAAATGGCGGATTAATAAGAATAATAAAGAAAATACGTTGCATTATTAACTTTTATTGGAACAATGTTTCGCTCAGAGGTGTGAATTGAGCGAAATGTTCTAATATAAGTTTGTTGATCATCATGTATGGTTTCTTTATAATTAAGAGTATTGTCTGCACGAGGGTCGTTAAGAGTGCACCTAAGTCGTTAATAGTGCACGAGGGTCGTTAAGAGTGTACCTGAGTCGTTAAGAGTGTACCTGAGTCGTTAAGAGTGCACGAGGGTCGTTAAGAGTGTACCTGAGTCGGTAAGAGTGCACCTGAGTCGTTAAGAGTGCACGAGGGTCGTTAAGAGTGTACCTGAGTCGTTAAGAGTGCACCTGAGTCGTTAAGAGTGCACGAGGGTCGTTAAGAGTGCACCTGAGTCGTTAAGTGTGCACGAGGGTCGTTAAAAGTGTACCTGAGTCGTTAAGAGTGCATGAGGGTCGTTAAGAGTGCACCTGAGTCGTTAAGAGTGCACGAGGGTCGTTAAGAGTGCACCTGAGTCGTTAAGAGTGCACGAGGGTCGTTAAGAGTGCACTGAGGTCGTTAAGAGTGCACCTGAGTCGTTAAGAGTGCACGAGGGTCAAGAGTACACTTGAGTCGTTAAGAGTGCACGAAGGTCGTTAAGACTACACAAGGTGCTAAGAGTGTACGAGGATCGTTAAGAGTGCACTTGAGTCGTTAAGAGTGCACGAGGGTCGTTAAGAGTGCACGAGGGTCGTTAAGAGTGCACGAGGGTCGTTAAGAGTGCACGAGGGTCGTTAAGATACTGATCTTAAGAGTGTCTAAAGGTTTAAGACTTCACAATGTCTAAAGGTACGAGGATCGTTAAGAGTGCACTTGAGTCGTTAGAGTGCACGAGGTCGTTAAGAGTGCAGAGGGTCGTAAGATGCACGAGTCGTTAAGAGTGCACGAGGGTCGTTAAGATTCTAAAGTAACTTTAATCTCTAAAACACACTGTAAGATATTCGTCTCTAGTTGTATATATACTAACATACACATCTCTTGGTCTCTAGTTGTATAT